TATTGGTAGAAAAAAAAAAAAAGTGTGTGTGTGTGTGTGTGTGTGTGTGTGTGTGTGTGTGTGTAGGGTAAAAAACCCAAGCTCAAGCCAGGCAATGGTGGCACACATCTTTAAGCCCAGCACTTGGGAGGCAGATCTTTGTGAATTCGAGGACAGCCTGGTCTATAAAGAGAGTTCCAGGACAGGGCTGTTATACACAGAAACCCTGTCTCAAACAAACAAACAAACCCCACCCCCCAAAACAAGCTCAATTCTGGGGCTCAAAATCCCACCAATCCCTGAGCTCCAAATCTCAACCTTCCCTGAGCTCACTCTAAGCTCAGTACTTGAAATCTTACCAATCCCCACCCTAAAAACCCCACCTCCCCAAGAAACCCGATATAAACCTGCCTCCCGGCTCAGCTCTCGGCTGCTTCTCCCCTGGGGCAGGCCAGCCACCCTCCTGTGTTCTTCCCAGGAAGTCTCTGGGTGAGGTTTGCTGTACAGTTGTGGTGTTCCTTGGCTTCTGCCTGCCAAGGTGCCTTTCCCTTCAGAGCCCTACACAGATTGGGCTACATAGTGAGTTTCAGGGCAGCCAAGGCTATATAGTGAGACCCTCTCTCAAAAAAAAAAAAGTCATTTTCAGCTTCTGGAGATGAACTGAGGCTTTCAGAGAAGTAATGTCACTCTGCATTAGTGTGACATGGGTGTGATGGCAAGTCAGTGTGTGTTTACAGAGAGTGGCACAAACAGGCACACACCAGCACTGGCCGGGGCCAGTGCTGTCCCACGGTCCTGTGTTAGCAAGGTGAGCTGCTAGTGGCTCCTTAGAGGTCCAGGGTTCTGCCTGCCAGGACACTGCTGCCCTGGGCTTCATTTGTAGGTAGAGGGCAGACAGGAAGTTAAGCCACGAGGGAGGAGTGCTGCCTAACTGTTTCCTCCCAGATTAATATATTCCATTCTGCAGGGAAGCTCCTTAAGCAGGAAGGTAAATATCTTCGTTAGGGTTTCTTTTCTTTTCTTTTTTTTTTAATTTTTTTTATCTTTATTTTATGTGCATTGGTGTTTTGCCTGCACATATGCTTATGAGAGTGTCAGATCTTGGAGTTACAGACAGTTGTGAGCTGCCATGTGGGTGCTGGGATTTGAACCCAGCTCCTCTGGAAAAGCCATCAGTGTTCTTAACTGCTGAGCCATCTTTCCAGCCCCACACCCCGTTAGTTAGGATTTCCAGTGCTGTGAAGAGACACCATGCCCATGGCAACTCTTATAAAGAAAAACATTTAATTGGACTGGCTTATAGGTCAGAGGGTTAATCCATTATCATCATGGTGGAAAGCATGGGAGCATGCAGGCAGGCATGGCGCTGGAGAGGAAGCTGAGAGCTCTGCATCTGGATCGCAGGCTGCCAGCAGAACTAAGATACACTTCCTCCAACAAAGCTGCACTTCCTAATAGTGCCACTCTCTATGGACCTATGCAGGGCCATTTTAATTCAAACCACCACAGTAAACAACTCAGGAAGCTTCAGGGAGTCCCTGAAGCTGACCAGATTCACTAGGCCCCTCCCTGCCAGAGGAAGCAATGAACGCTGAGCGTGCCTCTCAGAAGAGCAGAGCCAAACTGCAAAGACTCTTAGACCCAGAAGAAGATAAACCAGCCAAGCTACCTGAAAGAGGTTTGGACCAACTGAGTCACTTAGAAAGGGGCCTGCCAACCTGTTGCTTTGCCTGCAGGCTTTGCAATGTGTTTCATGTTCCCTGCTTTTGTGACTGTCACCCATGCTAGCGGCCTCAATGATGGAGCCGTCTTTGAGTCCTTTCTGCTTTTGTTAAGTAACCCCAATAAAAGTCATTTGCACGAAGTTGGACTTTGGTGGTATTGGGAATTTGGTCTGTTGAGGGCTCCCTATCGGATGGGAAGACACGTGTAGTGTCTCCCCAAAAAAAGAGTGTGTGGGGCAGATAAGGAAAGCCATGAGCCCTGGCCGAGGCGGTGGCCTGGGGGAGTGGCCCTGTAGAGGGCTTTCCTGCCCCTTAAGCACCTCCCAGGGACAGAGGCAGCTGCCCACAGCTGGACTGAGATGGCCTAGCCAGCGCCCACAGCTCTGTCTGCCCTCTGGTGACCACAGGATGTAGTCAGGATGCCCCAGAGCGTCGGGACCCACAGAACAGTCACTTGCAGCGGGTGGGTGGTGGCGTCACGCACCTTTAATCCCAACACTTCGGAAGCAGAGCAGGCGGTCTGAGTTTGACACCAGCCTGGGGTAGTGAGTTCTGGGACACCCAGGACCATACAGAGAAACCCTATCGAGAAAGACCCAAACCAACCAACCAAACAAACAACAATAACAACAAAACATGGCGGCACACGCATTTAATCCCAGCACTCTGTGGGTTCGAGGCCAGCCTGGTCTACAAAAAGAGTTCCAGGGCAGCCAGAGCTACATGGAGAAACCCTATTTTGTAAAAAACCAACCAACCAAACAAACAAAAATACCTAAAACAAAGACAAACCAACTAACCAAAAAACCAGTTACTTGCAAAGTGCAGTTAAGAGTGGAGGTGCCTGGCACTGAGGCCACTGTGTGCTGAGTGGGGTGAAAGCCATCCAGTGATGGAGTGTGAAGGTCGAGGCACACACCATGTCTATTGAGAAGCACTGTGCTCAAGAGCACTTCCAAACTCACTCTGACAGACACAGGGGACGCCACCCGCTGCGGTTCTCTCCCTGTTCTACACAGACACTATGATGAGAGGACAACTTGGGGAGGAAAGGGTTTCGTCTTACCCGTTACAGTCCGTCACTGAGAGAAGTCAGGGCAGAAACTTAAGCTGGGAAACTTGGAGTCAGGACCTGCAGCACAGACCAACACTGCTTGCCAGTTTGCTTCCTGTGGGCTGCTCGGCTCCTTTTCTCATACTGCCCCGGCTCACCTGGGCTAGGGGCGGCTCCGCCCACAGCGGAGCAACTAAGAGAATGGCCCACAGCATATCCACTAGCAAATCTGGTGGAGGCAAGTCCTCAAACTAGATTCCCTCTTCCCAGGTGACTCTGGTTTGTCTTAAGTCGACAAAACCCAGCACAACACACATGAAGCCAGTGAGGACCAACATTGCTCGGAACGTGACATTTGAGCCGGATTTATGCAATGAGTGTGGGAATGTTTCCCTCGTACAAAAACAAAAACAGGAAACCGGGATTAGCTCATGGGATCTGGTTCATGCCATTTTCTCACAGACACCTCACTGCCTATTACCACCTGTCCATCACCCACCTGGGCTGGCCCCTCTGGCAATATGCCAGCCAAGGCACTGAACCACGGGCCAAGCAATGGTTCACTTCAGTACGTGTAAACTCATCACCTGGAACACGAGCCTTCTCACGGAGGACACCGGTCCTTTGTGAACAGGCTAGATCCCACAGAGAGCTTGAGAGCAACAACTCGGTCTGAGTCCCCCTTCCCAAAATAACTAATCAATCAGCCAGTTAATTCAGAAGATGCTGGGCCGGAAGTGGTGGCATATGAAGCTAGTGAAGAGGTGGAGCCAGGAGGATTGCCGGTTTAAGACTAGCCTGGGCAACTTAGTGAGGCTCCATGTCAAACTAAAGTACCAAGGGGCTGGGGCCTCGTAGAGAAGGCTTGCCCAGTGCACAGGAGACCCTGGGGTCAGTTTTCACCAGCAGGAAAAAACATTTCAGATCTGTGGACAGACAGGCGGGTGGAGCAGATAGGAGCTGCGGCTGCCCCTGCAGGCTGCTGTGTCCCCAGGGGTCTGGGGCCCAGCAGTCACTCCCAGAGCTGCCAGAGTAAGGACAGGGTGCAGGGGTACGAGCTCGTAGGGCCTTTCCTGTGCCACAAAGCCTTTTGCTTTGGGTATAAGCACTGTCTGCCCAGCTTCAGCACTGGGCTGGCAAAATGCTTGGGCAGGCAGACGCCCAGCCTTGAGCTCGCTTGGCTTCCTGTGTGCCCCGGTGAGGGCCAGAAAAGCCCACAAATTTTAACTGGCTCTTCACTCTGAATCTGCAGAAGTACTTGCGGGCAGAGTTCCATCAGAACACTCAGGAGACCGCCTCAGCCCAGAGATTCCTGCCATGCCTGCAAGCAGCAGCAGGGGGCAGTGTGGCTCCAGGGACACAGTAGAGGGAGGCGGGTACCTGTGGCTTCCCGTCTTTAGACAGGGTGGGGGTTGGGCTCTTTCATGCTGTGTCTCCACTCGGGTCACACTTGTCTCTCTCACTCTCAGGCACGGAGGCCCCACATCTGCTCAGTGGCCCTGCACATGGACCTGTCCAACCTGGTCTTCCTGCTCCATCAGCTCCAGCCCAGAGCCTTTTCTTCTGCCACAGGTAACCTGTGTTACCTGTCAGTCACCTGTCTCACTACGATCTAAATGTGGCGTGGCAACAGGGCGTGCGTGCGTGCGTGCGTGCGTGCGTGCGTGCGAGTGTGTGTGCCTGCCTCTGCTTCCCCAGTGCTGGGATTCAAGGCGTGTACTATCACCCAGTTAAAACATAGTTTTAAGGCATTTGATACTAGACCAGCTGCCTCCAGGCTGCGCTTGATAGGAAAGCCTATTGCAGTAAAAGTGGTCAGCAAGAGAGGCCCCTGCTTCTTCCCTTCCCCACAGTCCTTCCAGCTGTGGCCCACGGGAGCCGAGCTTGGGTGAGGAACGAGCTGCCATCCCGGGGGACAGGGGGGTCATGTTAGGCCAAATCCAGAAAGGCGGGAGGGAAGGGAGGGCCTCAGAAGAGCCAGGGGCTGTGCGCCTGGCCCATGGCGGGGTGGGCATGCCTTGCTTCACAGAAGTCCCTCCCCAGGAATCCACAGATGCACAGCTCTGTGTAGCGCTGGGGCCCTTGCTACTGGAGTTGGGGTGCCTGTCCACTTATCCTCCTCCCCAGGGCCTGCCCCTCCCCTGAAGCACTACTTGGTCTTTCATCCTCCAGCCCCATGCTGTTGTCAAGAAAGAGAGGAAGAGGCAGGGGTGCAGAGGGAAGTGCAGAGGGCAAGTACTTACCCACACCCTCTGGTTCAGCTGGAATTACTTCTGCTGGCTTCCGGGAGAAGACAGGGTGAGCAGTGAGGACTGGTGGGGCAGGTGGTCAAAGAGAAGCAAGAGAAGACCTAGAGCTGGAGACACGATGGAGTACACCACGGCTGAGCCATTGCTCCGTAGGATCACCTCCCAATCTAGCGAGTTGGTCATGCCAATGGCTGTGACCACAGGCCATGGACTGGACTATGGCTGTCGGATCTGTGCTGCATGACCCGGAGCTGGAGGCAGCTAGAGCGCTGGCGGGGGGCTGCTGCAAATGCTGTCCTGGTCTCTTCTCTCTTTTACCAGAAGGGTTTATTTGGGGCTTACAGCTTACTGGGGTAGGAGTCCACCACTGTCATGGTAGGGAGCACGGCAGCAGGCACGACACTGCAGCAGCCCAGAGCTTGGTGTCCTGAGTCTCCAGGGCCAGAATGCTGGAAATGAACTGTGTTCCAGCGTGGCCATGGTCATTGTCTGCTGTTCCCAGGAAGGCTGGGGTCATCTCCCACAGACTTCCCCTGGGGAGACGAGAGCACAGCTGAGGTTGAGGGAGAAGGGAGCTTGTCTGCCAAAGCAAGAGCGAGGTGGAAAGGCCAGGGCCAGGCAGCATATCTTCCTCCGCCCTTCCCAGTCGGCTGCTCTGAGGGCAAAAAGCAACGGTGAGCACTGGGGTCCTGAGCCAAGCTAGACAGTTCTGTCCCCAACTCTCTCCATTCTAAACTGGGAGTGCCGTCTTTCAGTCAATGCCAAGAGGATTGGTGACAAATTTGGGAGCAAAGAATCTGAAACAGCCAAATAAATCACATTAATGACCATTGAGATAGAATCAGTCTCTGGAATAGAACCCATTTAGCTGACAAGACATTGTCGACGCACCCACACCCCTATCTGGGTGCTTTCCAGCTGGTCTCCTCCGAGGAGTCCTGGGATTGCCTCACAGCTTGGGAAGCAGGAGCCCACCAGTGTGTCCTCTTCAGCCACAGAACTCAGGAGAAAGGCTGAATCCACGGGGCGGGGGGGGGGGGGGGGGGGGGGAGGAATGAGCCTGAGGAGCCACGGCCCAGCTGCTGCTTTGTCTTCTGCACAGTTAGACCTGGGCCAGCAGGGGCCAGGGAGGGGGTGCACACAGGGCAATGTGGGAGCCTCCTACCAGGTCCAATGTTCCAGGCTGGGCTGCATGTGGCCATGAGTTCACAGAGACAGGCCAGGGATGGAGCTGGTGCTGGTGTCTGGTGAGGGAGTCCTCTGGGCTAGGCATGGCAGGTGGGCAACCCTCGCTCTGTTGCCTTGCTCGTGTTGTATTTGGACCATCCACACAGGCAGAATGTTCCGGATTCCTCCCTAGGGCCTTGCATACCTCAGGAACTGCCCTGTGGCTGCCTTCAAGCTACTGTCTTTGGTCACTATCTGCTTCTTGCCCTCCTGTGGGCAACTGACCTTTCTGGATTTGGATTTGGATTTTGGATTTCTGGAGTCTTCGTTAGGGTTTCCGGCGCTGTGAAGAGACCATGACCAGGACAGCTCTACAGGAGAACATTTAACTGGGGCTGGCTTACAGTTCAGAGGTGTAGTCCATTGCCAGCACGGTGGGAAGCGTGGTGGCGCACAGGTAGACTCAGTGCTGGAGAGGGAGCTGAGACTTCCACTTCCAGATGGCACACAGCAGGAAGAGAGTGAGACACTGGGCCTGGCTTGAGCTTCTGAAACTTCAAAGCCTGCCCACTGCCCCATGACACACTTCCTCCAGCAAGGCCACGCCTCCAATAATGCTTCTATGCGTCCATGGGGGCCATTTTTATTCAAATGCCACACGTGGCTATGTGCTTTAGCATCCCAACCTCTCCCAAAGCACTTACCTCTTCCTCCCCAAGGAGACATTGGTTACGTCACTGCACAGTCCTGCCATTGCCAGCTGCTCTGAGCACTGCCAGATACAGCCTCACCACAAAGCTCAGGGTTAAGCCAAGGTCATCTTGGGGGCAAGGGTGAGGCACTGGCTCTTTGTGGACTGTGTATCCAGCCAGGATCCAGCCCGGACACCTATCTTCTGTGGCCACATCCTCTCTATTTCCTGTGCCATGGGCCTGTCCGATCCCTGATCTCTACCTCTCATCAGACGAAAACTTTAAGGCAGCCTCCCTGTTGAGTCCCTGTATCTGGTGGGCTTGTGTTCTGGACAAATGGGTGGATGTCCTGCAGAGTCAGGGGGTGTCCTAAGAAGGGAGTCTCAAGCAGAGAGGAGCCCTGTGAGGGGGTTCCTTGTAGAGGTACCAAAGAGTGGTTTTCTATAGGATTCCCTCATAGGGGTATTCCACGCAGGGCATTCCCACAAACACAGCAGTTAGGATTTCACCATCTCCCATGATCCTTTAGGCCTTTGACTGGAATTGTCTTGCTGACCACTGTGGCTTGGTGGCAGGGATTAGCAGGGCCTGTGGTTTGTCACAGAAGGTGGCTAGGGCTCTGCAGGCCAAGATTCTCTCCAGAGCCCCTCACATGTCCTGTCCTAATGATGAAATCTGTGCAAAATGCAGGCCTCCATTAAAATGGTCCAGTGGCATGACGGAGTCTTTGGGTCCCTTCACAAAGCCGTCCCTTGGAGGGAAATCTGACTCCCAGACTTTGGTCACAGAAGGCCTGAGCTTCTGCCTCCAGCTTGAGAGATGAGTCGGACCTGAAAGGAACATGCTCCACCAGAGTGCACTCAGGAGCAGCGGCAGGGATAGCTGCAGGGCTGTTCAGCCACAAGGGGATGGTGACCCAGACATTGGGGGATGGTCTGTGTCTGGGTCACCATGAGCAAGGACAAGGGCTGTCTCGAATGCACCACTGGGAAAGACCAACTGATGTGGCTGTTAAAAGGGTCAAAGGCATTGACAGTCACTGAGGCCAGGAGCTGGCCCCTCACTCCTCACACTGCCACCCAGGGTGAGGGAACAAAGGTCATGCAAACTGCTTGGTGCCTAGTGGGAGAACCGAAGAGTCTGTAGAAGTGTGACCTTTCAGCGTGGGGGTAGTGAAAGTGCGCTCTTATTTGTGCACCTGAAAACAATACCTTTGCTTCTCGTGCAGAACAAAACAAACGGACACTTGGGGGGCTGAGGCTGGAGGACTGGGGGTCCAAGCCCAGCCTAGGCTACATAGTGAGCCCGTCTCAAAAAACAGAAGCGACACTTTAAGACATGCACCAAGGTGGACTGGAGAGGTGGCCCAATGGTTAAGAGCACTGGCTGCTCTTTCAAGCACCTCCATGAGGCTTAGAACCTCTAGTATCCAGGGGATACGTAGCTCTCTCCTGGCCTCTGAGGGCACAGCATGCACACTATGCACAGACATCCATACAAGCAAAAATCCAAGCACATAAAATAAAAAAGAGAGGAAAAAATTAAAAAAAAAAAAAAAAAAAAAGAAGTGCACCAGAGCTGGGTGTGGTAGCACATGCCTTTTATCCCAGCACTTGGGAGGCAGAGGCAGGCGGATCTTTATGAGTGTGAAGCCAGCCAGTCTACAGAGTGAGTTCCAAGACAGCTTGAGCTACACATTTAAAAAACAAAATGAAACAAACAAAAAAGTGCTTCAAGATAGAAAGTCAAGCCTGTCTGTCCTCATCATGGCCATGAGGCTTATGCATGGCTAGTCTTAAACAGTCATTTGTTAATTTATATATACAGGCGAACAACCTCGAACTCAGATAGCACATGGCAAGTTTTATAATCCATCTGCATTTAGAAACCTTAAATGCACTTGCTAATAGAACATAAGTTAACATATAGTTTCTAAATAGGTTGAGAGGGGAAAAATGCAAAGAAAGTTAATACAACAAAAGAAGTAGGAAGCCAATGCAGGAAGACAGGTGTTCTAAATTCACTGGGTTAATCTTGCTAAGACATGGTTTATCAGATTGGATTAAAATCACAAAAATGGAACTCACTGAAGACACTCACTGTTCACTGAAGGAAGCCATGCAGGAGGTGGGGAGAGAATTACAAAGATGGACTGGGTGCCAACCCGGACGGTGGAGCAGCAGTACAGTGGATGGAGAAGGAGTTAGTAACACCCAGCCAGCAGGCAGCAATCCACGAGAAGGCCAGGATCTCAGGGCTGCCAAACGGTGGAGAAAGAGCCTTGCAGACTCTATGGTGGCCACTCTGTGAGGTCAGGTCATTAAGCTTAGATACTGGCACTGCTGTCCTGCAGGTCCATTGCCAACCAGACAGAACTTGCTCTTTCAGGGCAGAGGATCTTGTCTCAAAGGCCTGGAATGCAGAGGTAAGTTTATGACACTGAAGGGAATGTGTTCCCAAATAACTCACAACAGCGTGTGTGTGTGTGTGTGTGTGTGTGTGTGTGTGTGTGTGTGTGTGCGCGCGCGCATGTGACACTCAGTGACAGAAGGATGGTGCCTGAGGCCTGGCAGGCACAAGCTCAGCTTCGGCTCCCAGGAGGGGCACTGAGTACATTTGGGAGGATGGCCCACAGATCAGCAAGCAGACTTCCCACAGGACTCAGGAAGGTACCCAGGACACACAGACAGACATAGAGGCCTGAGCCACCTCATGCCCACAAATCTGAAAGCTGCATGAGAACCCATACATGCACAAGCGGAATTCTAAGAAAGTCGTTAGCCCTCAGGAAATAGAATCTGGAGCCAGATACCCCACGTGTCCCCCTTCCGAGCACACAGGTCACAAGGTTGCAGAGGCCACTTTACTACTCTTCGAACCCTCAGATTCAAGGAGGCGTCCTGCATCCAACCCCACAGCAAGAAGAGTGTGTCAGTCTGAACTTCTGGCTGTCTCAGAGGCACATTCGACACCTGCTACGTGACACCCAGCAGGGTCTGGGGTTGTTTCCAGAGCCAACATACTGCAGCTCCCAGCATGACTTGCAAAGACTCTCACCAAGTGGGGTCCAGGACCAGATGGAGCCTCAAGCGTTCAGCTCAGCTTTCTTTGGGAATGAGTTTGCAGGAAACAAAAACAGCAAAACAAAAATGAAAACAACATTGCTTTTCAGAGCCTTCTGGGTTTTAGAATTGGAAACAGGACCCTGCAGAGTCACAGTCACACCCGGCAGGGTGGCTTGGCCCTCACACGCCCACACCCTGTATGGCTGTTCCAGAAGCAGGAGGGTCTGCTTCTGGAACAGGAAGTCCCCAAGAAAGACTGGACAAAGAGGATACAATCGGCTCAATTGTGACTACCTGAACAAAACTCAGGCTTGCTCAGTGTGTGTAGCAGCCCTCAGAGCAGCTGGATTAGCTGAGGGGTGTCAGGGTCCTGCCTGGGGTCCCTGGGGAAGCAGGCTACTGAGCAGGAGGAAAGAGCCTCAGGTTTTATTTCATTGCAAGTTCCAGCAATGCCTAAGAGGAGAAAAGAGAGATAAGGGAGGAGACAGCTCAGAGAAGCAGCCAGGAAGGGAGCTAGGCTCATGGGCAAGGATGAACACAAGCTGTCCAAGATCACACCGTAAAAAAAAATGAAAGAGAAACCCATCTCAGTCAGGGTCCACCCCTGATGATACCGGAGGCCTAATTGTTCCGAAGACAGAAACTACCTAGAGGAAGGTGGGAAGGTGTGGGCTCCAGGGTGTGGTCTTGCAGGATCAGATTTCTCCAGGTTAATTTATAAATCCTGCAGTTCCAGTTAAAATCCTAGAGGTTTTGCTTAGAGAAGCTTTGTTAGAAATAAGTTCAGGGTCACAAAGGAAGGGACCACTACTCCAGTGGAATTGTCTGAGAGCAAACTTGACTCTTGATCAAGAGCGTGCCCTTAGAACTCACAGAGATCTACCTGCCTCTGCCTCCCGAGTGTTGGGATTAAAGGCGCGTGCCACCTTGGCAGGCTCTTTTGTGTTTATTAAATGCCAATTTAATACATTAAGAATTCACTGGAGGGGCTGGAGAGATGGCTCTGTGGTTAAGAGTGCTGTCTGCTCTTCCAAATGGACCTGGGTTCAATTCCCAGCACCTACATGGCAGTTCACAACTGTCTGTAATGCCAATTTCAAGGGATCTGACACCTTCACACTAAATGCACATAAAATAAAAAAATTAAATAAATTATAAAAAAAAACCAAAAAAGTCATTTAAAAAAAAGTTAAAAAAAAAAAAAAAAGAATTCACTGGAGAGGCCATGGAAATGGCTCAGCAGGTTAAGGTGCTCTCGTCAAGCCGTGAACTTGGTGGACCTGAGTTCAGCCAGCCCAGACCCTTCATAGTGGATGGAGAGAAATGATTCCCTAAAGGTGTCCTCTGATCACGTAGACATTGTGGCATGCAGATACACATACATAATGAGTAAATACCTTAACTTCTAAAATTACAGAAAAGAAAGGCTGGGCACATGGTGCACCTCCTTAACCATTTGGGAAGCAGAGGCAGAAGGCTCTCTGTGAGTGGGAGGCCAGTCTCAGCCTTTTCTATTTAGAAAGTTCCAGAACAGCCATGGTACAGTGAGACCTTGTCTCAAACAAATATGTATCTCTATATATGTATGTATATGTGTGTATTCCATTATATACAGATAAATAGGTAGGTAGGTAGAGAGGTAGAGCAGTACTTTAAATTATTGGAACCCAGATATTTATTCTGCTTGTTCCTATGTACAATTGTGGGTTTTTGTAGTTTGGATGTAGTGGCTTCTGATTAGAAACTTCACAGATTTATTAAGTAATAAAATTGGCCTTAAAAAACCCTGTGTAATTGTTTTCAAATGTTCCCTTATGGAAATCCAGCACTTTGTAAGCTAATTTAAATATGTAATTTGGGGCTGGAGAGATGACTCCTCGGTTAAGAGCACTTGTTCTTGCAGAGGACGCAGCTTCGGTTCCCAGCACCCACGTGACGGCTCACAACCATCCATCACTGCAGTTCCCGGGTACCAGATGCCCTCTTCCAAGCTCTGTGGGCTCCAGACATGTGCACAGTACACATACTTACACGCAGGCCAACACCCATACACATAAAACGGTAAAGTGATTCTTTAAGACTAGCTGAGTAGGCCTGCAATGCCAGGCCCAGCCAGCGTGGAAAAGACACCGTCACTTGTCTCCGTGATCATTCACAAAGATTTGGCCTACAAATCTGTTTCTCTGCTATAAAGAGAAACCCTGTCTTGAAAACCCAAAACCAACAAAAACCAAACCACAAAAGATAGTTACGGTTGTATACTAGCCAATTGTTTTTTTGTTTATTTTAGTTTTTTAGAGACAGGGTTCCTCTGTGTAGCCCTGGCTGTTCTGGACTCACTTTGTAGACCAGGCCTCAAACCCACAGTGATCTGACCCCCTAAGTGCTGGGATTTTAGGTGTGTGCCAATTATAGCCAGTTGTTAGAGCTTATTTTCTTTTCTCTCTCCCTCTCTCTCCTCTCTCTCTTTTTGTATAGCCCTGGCTATGCTGGGACTTGCTCTAGGACCAGGCTGGCCTTGAACTCAGAGATCCACCTTAGCCTGCCTCCCGAGTGCTGAGATTAAAGGTGTGGACCACCACTGCCTAGGTTTGTTTTCATGTTTTTAATGTTAAGGTATCATAAAATCAGCTAGGACTATTTTTCTCTTTCTTTCCTCCTTCCTGGTTTTTGAGAGAGGGTCTGCTAGCCTTGAACTCATGGTAATTCTCCTGCCTCCACCCCCCAAGTGCTGGGATCACAGGCATACATATACCGCCACTCCTGTCTGGTTTTACTTTGTGTCAAGGTGGATGAAGCCCAAGAGCTGGTGTATGGTAGTCATGTGTTCTACCAATGGAGCTACACTCCCAGCCACCCTCAAGGGCTTTCATCTGCACAAATGCTCCAGTGAGCTCGCCTACATTCCCAAACAACCCAAACAGCCACAGTCACACAACACATTGAATGCCAACTGTCTTTCACATTCATTGAATGGCTTCTCCACTGACAAAATAAATTGAATTGAGCCGAATTTATAGTAAAAAGGCAGGTTTATTGGGGCCGCTCTCAGCTCTCAGGTGGGTTCACAGACCTCACAGGAGGGGTGGAGGTTTGTGAAATGGCATGGCTGGGCTGTGGCAGGATCTTCTTAAAGGGAAGTGTGTGTGGGGGGGGGAAGTTTTGAGTGATGGTGAGGTTTTGGGGTTACAGCCTCATCTGGTGAGTTCTGGGCCCTATAGGTAGGTCTCAGGTCCAGTGGTCACTTCAGAATCCTGAACTAGGAGCTGGCTTTGTCCAGGGTTTTGGGTAGGCTTTTGAAAGCACAGGCTCCTGGTCAGAAGGGAAGGGCCAGACTTCCTGGCCCAGGCCACCTTGCCTTTAAATCCCTAAACCTCTGGCCTAACACCACTGCTTATAATTCATCGTTAAAGTGCTCCGCATCTAATATTTTCACTTGTTAGACATCATCTTGGTCCCCTAATTTCCTGACTTCCTCCTGGAGGCCACGGAGAAGCCTGCTTTCACAAAGACACGCTGGACTCACATCTGGATGAACTCCTTCCTTAGGTACTGGATTCACCCCAGAACAGTAGAGAGTACTCAGTGCTGGGATCACATTCTGTGAGCACTCAAGACCCCCGCCATCTCTTCCAAGGCAGTGGTGCTCCACCCACAGACCCAGCTGGGTCTCCAGTCACCAGCAAAGTCTGGGGTTCTCCTTTATATGTATTTCTTAATGAGTGTTTGGCCTGCATGTATGGGGGTGTACAACACACATGCACGCCTGGTGCCCAGAGGAGCCAGAAGGCAGCACCGTATCCCTTAGAAATGGAATTACAAAAACTGGGCCGCCACGCAGGTGCTGGGAACTGAACCTGGGTCCTCCGGAAAGCATGGGTTTCAGTTCTTGAAGATGACCGGAGCAAATCTAGCATGAGCCCGCCAGTCAATACACTGGGGGGAGGAGCATGCAGGGTCAGCCTGTTCTCTCCTGCCCTTCCACAGTGTTTAAAATGTCTCTTAGAGTGATTTTCCTCTGCATTGCCCAAGCTTGCTGTTCTGGGACAGGAACAGGTGCCCACATACAGGGTCAGTGCAGAACTGGTGATGGTCTGTGGATCCCAGGACTCAGCAGGAACTGCAGAACCCCATTCCCCTTCCTGCAGAACATCTATCGCTGCTCTGGCTGACACTGGCTTACTGGAGTCTCTTGAGGCAGCTGACATTTCATCCAACAGGCATTTCTGAGACCAGAGCTGTGTGATCTTTGCACCCATGTGAACATGTATTTGATGTATGTTCAAGCTGGTTCCCATGAAAGTAGGTGCTGCAGGGACAGTTTAGGCACTGACGGTGACGCAGCCGGTTGCTGCTGCTGTTTCACTGGGCAGGGGTCGGGGAAAGCCCTCACAGACTGGGATGAAGGACACTGATGACTTAATGATCTATCACTCTGACATCAGGAGCTCTACCCTGCAAGCCAATGACCTCCTTGTGCTTCAAAAAGGATCCAGTGCTTGGGGGAGGGGGAATGAAGACGTGCATGACTCAGCTAAGCCTGGTCTGGGCTTATATCTGAGCATCCCACGTGACACCCACGGTCCTCAGGACATCCTCTGTTAGAATCCTGAACACAAACATGTTAACTTGGGACAGTGTGCAGAGAGGCGCCAGGTACACACATCTTCTTGTGCCACATACGCATACACCAGTTCCATGGATGTGCACTTGCTGACCCCTGCTCACACACAGACGCCCTAGGCAGGCAGGAAAGTGGTGGGAGGGACTCCAGAGAGACGGCAGGATAGACGGAGCCGGAAGGCCAAGGGCTCTGGAGCTGAGCAGTGCAGTCAACACCTGCCCTTTCTCTCTCAGACTGTATGATGACCGCTCTCCAACTTCGGTTGTTTCATTTGCAGAATAATCCAGAGGTGCTCCCCCCAGTGTGTAAAAAGCACCCACAGACAAGAAGGTCCAGCGTGTCTGCTTGGGCAGTACCCGCTGCCACCTCTGAGAAGGGCTCCGGTCATAAGCAGTGCACTGTGTACCCTGCCGGTGTGAGGCAGGTCCCGCCTGACCTGCGGCTATCCTTCACTGCGGCTGACAGGGCTTTCCTGGGCTTTATTAACGACCCTGTCAGCAGGGGGCTCGGGACGCTGCAACTGCCTTCAGGTGATAGATCACAAAGGGCTTTCACGGCTATTCATTTCCAGTGACCCCGTCTCCCCTCCACTGCTGCTGCTCACTTAAGAGTTATGAGGGTGAATCGGTATAATTTGATATCGATCTATTTGCCGAGCTAAATTGACCACACGGTGGATGTTTGCAAGGGCACTCAGCTCTACTGGGGCACATGGAGGTGTCTCTGAACTCCTGCTCATGGCCACAATGGGAAAACAACTAAAGGGGCTGACATCAGGTCAGGGCCTAGGTCCCAGATATCGGGGAAGTGAGATTCCACAAGGGCCATGAGCCACCAGCTCTGCACCCATAGCATTGCGACAGGCGTGAAAATGGATGTTTCCCACTCTCACCAGAGATGCTATGTCTAGAAAACAGTCAAGCTGCAGTGGCTTTGAGGACACCATGCAGAGAAGGCAAGAGATATGTGTGTATGAGAGAGAGACAGACAGACATGTGGATGGATGGACGGACATGTACAAAGGCACAGGTCTCCTGTGGCTAAGTTGACGTTACTCATTTTGCTCAGCTATTCACGCTGATGCAGCCTCTGGCTCCAGGTTTACTTGATGGTCCCATCGCTGAGCCACATTGGGGCTCCAGAAATCTGCATTACCATTCAGCCTCCTTGCCACCTTCTCAGGCTCAGTTCACCAGGAGGGCACCTACTCCTACTCCCAGGTATACAAGGCTTCACTGCCAAGGCCTGATGACACTGGCCAAGAACCAGCAGAGTACGTGTGCATACCACAGGTGTCCCCTTCTGTGACCTCATGGCTGTGCCTCCTGGAAACTTGAGAACTGAGGTCTGGGTTGGCCTGTGACACCTGCTTTTGAAGGTAAGCTCCAGGTGATACTAGCTGCTACAGGGGGACACGGAAGGCTGTCAGAGAAGCCAGGGACCGGGAAGGAAATTTCAGAGCTGCTGGGAGGATAACAGCCTGAGCTCCAGCAGCTACCTGTGGCCATGGCCTGTGCAAGCTGACTTCTGACCATGGGGAAACCCTTCATCGGAGCTCCCTTCACTTCCTTTGCGGTGTTTAGGTTTAACATACAGAAGCCAACTTGCTTAGGCCATGGATGTGGCTTATGGTCAACCTCACCTCCTACCATTGCTGAGGGTGTTCTGCACTGGCTTCTGACTCTAGGGTCTTGGGCTCAGTAGCAGCTGTGGTGTTTCCTTGAGCAAGAGGGCCCGACACAGGGTGATGCTGCAGATAGAGGCAGCACAGTGTGGCTCCCACAGGCTGCACTGGGATTCTCTAGGAATCCTGCCCCTGCCCCTCGGGATCAGACTGGCCTCTCGGAAGCCCAGATATCCGACAGCTCCTTAAGCATCCTAGTTTCTAGGGCCAGAACATCTACCTTTCAATGATTTATAGTCCAGTCTATCCCAGAGCTCTGCTAGGCCTTGTAGGGTTGCCTGTGGCAATGTCGAAGGGTCCCATTACTCTTGCTTGCTTCTGGCCCTCACTTGATGGCTGCAGACTGCTGAGGGCCACATGTGGGTACAGGGCTATCACCGACATAGCTGTCAGTGGCCCCAGAGGGAGGGAGGGAGAAAGGAGGGGGAGAGCTCTGTGCTGTTTCTCCATGTGGCCTGAGGACACATGTCCACATATTTGAGTTGGCAGGACATCTAAGATGCCTCAGGCCTGGAGGATGGAGTCAGGGAAGCTTTGAGAAGCAGAGCAAGAAGAGGTCTGAGAAAAAGGCAACACAGCGGAGAGACACAGGGGATCAGAAAGACCCTACAATGTTTAAGGCAAGGTCAAGGAAGAGAAGCTTCAGGGCCATCTGGAGATGGCCTTGGGTGGCTACAGGGACTTTACCACACACCCAACAGCTGCAGCAGTGGGAGTCCTGGGCTGGGGTGCTGCAGGCTCTGCCTAGGGCTGCTGTCTGGTGTCCTATGTGGGCAGGGAGCTGTGTGGCTGTGAAAGTGTGTGCATGCAGACATGCAACCTATAGGTCACAGTCAGAAACCAGATACATGTCTTCTGCCTTTATTTCATTTCTTTTCTCAGTGCCAGCTCTGATTCTCAGGGACCTGCCCTCTGGAGAGTCAGCAGCCTTGGGCACACACTGGACACAGCCATGTCCTCACCAGGCTTGTGAGACTGGTACAAAGAGCGCTGAGGACACAGCCAGTGGACAGGGTCACCTGAACTCGGACAATTGGCCTGGGGCTGGGGAAGCCTCACTTGGTGACTTCATCCCAGTGGTTTTGATTCTGGTCAACCTGATTGCGGGGCGGGGGTTCCATCTAAGGGTCTCTGGACCACAGTACGTGATCATCAGGAAATGCTTGCTGTCCTTTGCTTGGCCTGGCCAGCTCCTCTACTTACGAGGGGTAGAACTGCTTGAGCAGCTCCTTCTTATTCACCTTGCCCATCTGGTTCCGTGGGATCTCCTCCACCAGCAGGAGCTCAGAGGGCACAGCATAGGGTGCCAGGACGCCTCTGCAGAGACAAGCACAGCCTGAGATGACTGCGCCCCACCCCTGGGAAAGCCATTGTTGGCTCACACTCTGACTCTGTGATCGGGGGCAACAGGGTGACCATCTTGCCCTGTGGAAGGAGGACCATCCTCTTCCCTCTGGCTTGGCTCTGGTACAGCAGAGTGGGCCCTGCAGCTGACAAGCTTGGTCAACTACAGAGAAGCAGCTTTAGGGCCACCACCAGCAAGTAATTAGAAGGGGGATGGGCTTTTTGGTAGGAAAAAGCTGCAGGTCCTGTTGTGATTCTCAGACGGCACTCAGTTAGGATATGACTCCTGCAGATGTCCTCCTGTTCCGCTGCATGGACAACCCAGCCAGAGATGGTGTGTAAAGCCTGAAGCAGAATCCTAGTCTGCCCCAAGTTCCACTGAGCAGAGAGCAACTGGTTTTGACTTTACCCAAGGTTCTAAGTGACACCAACAGAATCTCACATGCTTTTTATCTTCAGATGCAATTTTTAGACCTAGGGCAACTCCCGGCCTCCTGTGTCCAGCAGCCCTTATGTTACAAACCTGCGGATGCTGATGACTCTTATGCGATGGCTTCCTGATGCTGTCTGCAGTGGCTGCTCAGACTTCCCAGCAGAGCTGTGTTTGGGAGGCCCTGACCCTGCTGCTCCACCCACTGCAGACTCGTCCCTCGCTTCGATGGACTGGCTCTACTCCCTATGAGCTTGCCCCAAGGGCTCCTCTGGGAGCCTCCCGGAGGGGACTCCAGCCCCTGCCCTCTACTCAGCTCTTGCTCCCTATTCTTCCTGGTGACCCCATCTTTTTCCTTTTGTCCTAGGTTTAGCTGGCCTGTGTACTTCTACGTGCAGAAACTGGGCAGGTTTTTACGGGAGAGCCACTGTGCAGTGTAATGTAGGGATAAACCTCTACAAAAAATTGGCTCAAGTGACCAGCTGGTACCCAGCTCCAGATGGCCTGGTCTTCTGGCCCCATCACATATCAGCTTCCAGACGAACTACATGTCTGGGTGGGACTGGAAAGAGGTGGAGGCAGGTGCTTGCTCCTGAACACAGGAGAAAATGTCCAACGCAATGGTCCCTAGAGCCCCTCCCTCAGCTCAGGAATGTTTCTTCTCTGGTACTGCTGTTGTTCCTGCCAGTGGCACTGGCATCTAGAAATGCACTTTCTGTGTCTGCTGCAGCGACTGCACGGCTTGTGCTCTGTAAACACGGCACGCCGCATGGATGGAGGTCTGAATGTTTAACCTCACATTTCTGGTGGAAATGCCACGCGATCATGATGTGTTGGCTCTTCTGTGAATAGGACCTAATTTCCAGCATTTGGTTAAGCATTTTGTGTCTGTCTGACAGGAAGCTGGTCTGGGTTTCTTGTCTGGTTTTGGTAGCAGGGTCCTGGGGCCCATGAAGTCAGCTGGGAGTATCCCTCCCACTGGAATGGACTTGTATGCACTTTGAGGAGAGTCCCCTGAGGTGCTCGGTGCCATCTGCTGCAGAGCCTTCCAGGCCTGGCATTTGCTTTATGGGAAGGTTTTTAGCTGGGAATTCAGCTTCATAGACACAGAGCCTTTGAGCTCTGGATTTTGGGTCAGTTCTGGTAATTTATGCATGTCACTGGGACTACCAGCTACAAGGAGGACATGCTTGAGGCTGTGTACCTCCTAAGGAACACTGAGCTGCTATGAGGTCAGACCTCTGGGGATAACAGTGACACCTGGTTCTCTCTGCTCTTTCCTGAATCTCCCTCTCTTTCTCATCTCATAGCTCAGGCTGGCTTTGAACTTGCTATGTAGCCAAGACTGGGTTGAACTCAAGAGGGTCTTGTATCAGCCACTTGGGTGCTTCAGTCACAGGTGTGTGTCACTATGCCCAGCTTTTCCTTTCAATCAATATGGAGTACATTTGGTTCTTTCTTTGTTAGTGTCCTCTCCAGACACTGTCTCTCTCTGGAACAATCCTTAGCCAGCTGCAACTTTAGGATGATGCTCTAATCTCTCCTTCCCAACTGCCTCTCTCCTGTAATGGCAGCTGGACAGCACAGCACAGTGGCCTGGGAAAGCATGGCCATCAGGGCTCTAAAGGCAGAGTGTGGATCAGCAGCAGCAAGCAGCAACCATCAGGCATGGACCTCGACCTCATGTAAGGGCAGGATCACCTGGACCTCAAGGCTTTTCTGGCAGGAGCGGCCACCTTCCCTTGCAGGTGCTCTCACAGGAGAGGCACCAGGAAGCTTAGCCACTGTTCTCTGGGAGTGAGTAGGGTTGGGGTTACAAGTGGGGATATCTCCTCAGGTCTCCCAACCCCAAGAAACAAGTGGTGGGGAGTCTACCCACCGTGGGGACAAAACCTGAGGGGCCAGCAGTTCCTATAGGACAGTCTACATCTCGGCTCTGCAATGTCTTGTAATCTTCCTTGCACTGTCTTAGTCTACACAGCTACAACTCCTAGGATGCTCCAAACCTCAGCGCTCCATTTTAGGGTCTTCATAACTCACGATGAGCCTAAATAACCAAGTCTGACTTCAGCCTTAGAGACAGGTCCTAAGGGGAAGCACTCAAGAGTGTAGGAGCCACAAACATGGCTGTGTCCATGCCTGTGCAGGGGGAATTCAGGCCAATGAGGACCTCCACCCAGCAACTACTGTAGCTCTCAGCAAAGGATGCCTGGGTGTTTTTCTTCTCAAAAAAGTAATTGTTTAATCAAAGCAGCAACCGGCCAAGCAGACTGTTGCCTTTGCTAAGCTATGGAGCTCCAACTGTGATTTTGCAAATCCAGGGGAATCGGTAATTGCCCAGCTGTGCGGCCCCTGATGAAACAAGGACTCCTGCTGTTTGTGAAGTCTTGTTGGACGAGCCAAAAATAGTCTTACGCTGAGGAGAAGGGAAGCCAGGGTAGGAGGAGATGGGGGCAGGAGGAGACAGGGCAGAGAGGAGAGAACTTTAAAGAACGAGTCCAGAGGTATCCTTATGGGGCACAGTGGAAGCTGTGAGGGTCCCAGTAAGTCCCCCTTCTACCCTGTGAATCCTGGAAGGACATCAGGAATCACAGGGCTGAGATGAGACAAACTAGAGTCTAACTCAAAGAATGTACTGTGTGTATGTGTGTGTGTGTGTGTGTGTGTGTGTGTGTGTGTGTCAGAAAAGTATGGTGGTGGTAATGGCGTACTCCTTTAATCCCAGCACTCAATCTCTGTGAGTTCAAGGCCAGCATGGTCTACAGAGTGAGTTCCAGGACAGCCAGGGCTACACAGAGTCGACTTGTCTCAGAAAACAAAAACCCAGAGACAGCAACTACAGGTGACAAGATGGAAAAAGCTCCTGCCCTGGGTCTGAGGAGAGAGCTGCGGGCATAGGCCATAGGCACTGAGGGCTATGGGCACACCAGGCCTTGAAGGCTCCACAGTGAGGTGTGAGGCAGCCAGGCACCTCAGGGCAGGAGCAGAAAGGCTGCTGTGCCCAGGCCATTCTGTGGCAGGCTGTGCAAGTCTGGCAGGATAGGGAGGGGTACTTGGTGCAGCACTGGACTAGCCAGGCATTTTCCTGGGGTCCTCAGCCTCACAACACTTTGGGGTTTATCTATAAATTGATACCAAAATACTTGCTTCTGTCTCAGGAACAAACATTCCTGCCTCAGACTACTCCTGACTCCCAACTCAGTTTGTAGGTGGAGGCCCTCCCAGTTTGCAGGTCTGAACTGGGGGGGAAAGGGCTGTTTTAAGGGCCACATGGCTGATAATTTTAGCTTCCCTCCCCACTTCCAAAATCCAGAATGGTCCACCCCAGCCTCCCGGTTCTAGGACAGGCCCTTCCCTCAGATCCCAAGAACCCAGGACAGTCCCGTTAGCCCTACCTGGCCCACTCCTTGAGGTCTGTATGGGACAATGAGTGTCCTTCTTGTAGGGCTACCACAGCTGTGATCCGCTGGCCCCATGTCATATCCGGAACGCCAATCACAGCCACATCTGAGGACAGCAGAACAGGCTAAGGACACCTGGGAAGGTCTTGATGACCATGACAGGATGAACAGCACTCAGGAATGTGTGGGCAACGCTGGGCAGTTAGCTGCAGTGCCCAAGCTCCCGGAACAAGATCTGTGGGAATGACCCTCATGGGAGTGGGCTCAGCCTGCCCTTGCTTGATCTGCAGAGCAGCTGTAGAGTCTGGCCAGGCCTGGAGGCCACCCTGGTACAGCAGCCAGCAGCCTGGAACTACCACCAGGTTACTGTGGCAGGGATGGAGGGAGCAGAACCCCCCCCCCCCACACACACACACAGGATCCCCACCACAGAGTAGAAAGGAGGCACAGTGTCTTGGGGGCAGGCTCTGCTCACCCGGTCCCTCACCTGTGATGCTGGGGTGGGCCAGCAGGTGCCGCTCGATCTCCAAGGCGCTGACCTTGTAGCCTCCGGTCTTGATGATGTCCACTGAGGTCCGCCCTCGGATCCAGTATCTGTCATCCTTGAACACGGCTGTGTCTCCTGGAAAAGGGTTTTCTGTGAGAGCTCTGGACTGTCTGCTCATAGGAGACCGTGCGTGGTGTTCCTGCTTACCACCCCCAAGAATCCTAGGGGACCAAATGCATGTGTGAGTCCCAGTTTCCAGGCCTGTGAAGGCTGTCTCCATTCTCTATCCCTACGACAATGGCACCCCGCCCTGCAATCAACAGTGGGGATTGGAACCCACTAGAACCCATGGCATGCTAAGAACCTCCTTGGCCCCCAGGGTCTGTAAATACCCTAAACTCAAGTCAGTATGTGTCACGTTTCTGTCAGAGCAATCAGAAGTGCGACATTTTCAAAACAGAGCAGCAAACAGCTGGTGGCCTTAACCCTGTCTCAAGGTACACTATACCAGGAAAGCACAAGCCCTGCTTCACACAGACACATGCGGGCACCCTCCTGCAGTGCCTCTCTCCTATCCCCATGCCTTCTGTCATCCTACCACGGCTGGTCCTGGGCGAAGGACGGCCATTTTCAGCTCCTCCTCCAACACGGGATGCCCTGTGATAAACATCCTCCTGCTCTTCTGCACTTGGCCCCACCACCCCAAACAATTACAGTGCTTTTTTTCCCTACACAAAGTAACTGTCCACTTGCTCCTTCCACATGGGAACCTGGGACCTGGTGAGCTTGTTACACCCCACAGAAACACTGGCAGCACCAGGAGCAGGGGCCAGGCCAGAGCACAGGGCTGCATTTTCAGCTGAGGCTTCCTCCTGCACAGTGGTGTGGGGGAGGGGCATGTATCTTCCCATTAGTGCCTGTGCCTGTCCACACACACACATTTGCACAATTACGACTGTGTGTAGGCATGCAGATGTCAGCAGCAGCCCTGACAGCAGCGCTGAGGCCTCACTGTCTGTTCACATGCTCCCTGCACTCCCTGTGGGTTATTAGCTGGAATAAATCATAAATATTTCATTATACATCACGCGGCCCGACGTGGGAAGGCACCATCCATCACCTCACTGCTCCCTGGGACTTGCAGTGCAGGGCGCACTCCAGTCTATTAAACAAGATGGATGGGTGGCCTGGACCAGCTTATTTACGGCAGAGAGGGAAGAGGGGAAGAGGCTGGCCTCCAGAGCAAGGACTGGAGCTGGGCAGTTCTCTCTCTAGTGTGGCAGCTGTGTGTGTGGCAGGTGGTAGAAGCGCTGGATGGGGAGCCTCAGTCTAAACTAGGATAGCCTCTTGGGCAGGTACTGACTGGAGAGAGAGGGCACGGGTGTGGGGTGTACCTGGCCTGGCCTGGGTCTTAAGGGGCCCTTATGACCCCTTCTCGTTCCTGCTGTAACTTTGGGTCCAGCTGTGCTCCTCAAGACTGGGAAGCCTTCCACTGGCTTCCTCTGCCTGGTTTGAATCAGGTTGCTGGTCTCCACAGTGAGATGGGAACTGACATTTAGGGTCTCAGCAGGAACCTCTCTGATGCTGCTCCCCATGGGCCTCCACTCTAAGATGTGGCACGGCACAGCCACTGCCTTGCCTTGAACACGGCCTCTCTTCTTGGTCCTACAAGCGATGCCATGCTGCCTACTTGCAAAGCTCCATACCCTCTCCCTGTAGTTCCAAAGTATGACTCTTCCACGGTCCCTTGTTTGATCTGGTAAGAGCCCTTGGGATAAAGAATTTTGTACACAGGGCTTCTTGCTTTGGGGCTGTGCCCCGCAATGCTCTTTTCTCAGATGCTCTTTTCCTCAGATATTCTGAGGAAGGATATCTGGGCATTGCTGGGCTGTTCTCTAGGTGGATTCTGCCTCACACTGCCAGTGTGTAAAGACTCATTCTTGTTTGTGATACAGGATCACACTTTTGGAAGAGTCAGAGCAACTGCTCCCCAGGGAGGAGATGCCCAATTCCATGCTGCCTACAACTCATGATTTCCTACAGTCCAGAAGATCTCAACAACAGCGTGCTCTCACAGCTCTGACAAGGCTGACCAAGGAGTCTGAGCCACTGGGTGTGCTTGGCCATGGAAGACAACCTAAATCTCCATAGCTGGTGCTAGGCTTGAAGAGAAAGTGCCGGACTTTTGCAGTGCTCTGGTGAGGTGCCAATACATGGGGCATCGCTAGCTCTGGCCTGCATCCATACTGATGGTTGGATAGCATTTATGTTCAGAAGTAAAAAGTCAGGTCTACTGTAGAGTCTGATGCAGGGCAAGGAGCCAAGGTCTCCCGTCAGCGCCGACAGCAAAGCAGGGTCCATGCCTTTTGCGGTGTGGTATGGTGGCTCTACATAGTTCCATGGCTCCAGCCATAGTTTTGCTCCTGGCATTGTCTGGGCTTGAGGAAACTACTCTTTCCAGGCCACTTGGTGTCCCTGGCCTTCAAAGACTTGAAGGACCAGCAAAGCATGCAGATGTCAAGGTAGTGCAGGCTGCAGGAATCATGAGCTGAAGCAGCATCAGGCAGAGGGAATGCCTGGGAGTGATCTCCGTGGTGATTCAGAGTGGCTTCTGTGGACGGGTCAGAAGGTAATATGCCACAGGCTTATAAAGGACAGCAAGTCAAGGTTTGAAGGCTCGGTTCTCTTTCCACCTAGTGACACTGCGGACACAGGTACTTCCAGCCACAAAGGGGACGCTTGGTGCAGTGAATGTCGTCATAAAGTTTTGGAATTCACAGAATACGAGGGAGGGGATCCTGATAGTAGTGTCAGGGGTGACAGTAGCAGCACCTGGCCCTCCCCATGGCAGGCCAGCCACACAGGCTGAGTTGCTTTTGCTAGGGCACTGTGCTGGGTCTGTACTTGACATGTGGCCCAACATCAGTGGCTCGGTATAAGAACTGTTTCAGGTGTGTCCTAGGGCCTCACTGAATGGGCTCCAGGCTATCTCCAGGGTCCAAGAGAAGGTAACTACTGCCTTGGTTTCCTTTCCTGGGTGGGAACAGAAGGGTATTGCTTATAGAAAAGGGTGCAGTGCCACTCACAATACCCACGAGGCAGAGTTGCAGGTGGCCATACCCTCTCAGGCCACCAGGCTTCTGGGAAAGAGGGAAGGAGGAGTTGTTCCATCAGAAGGCTGTACTTGGCATTAGCATGGCAGAGAGGAGACCAAGCAGATTGGCATGGGGCTAAGGGCCATCTCCCACAATCACAGCCTAACTCTGTCAGGCTGCCTCAGTGGCTGAGGTGTCTCTACACTGAGACATCAGGAGGCTATGAGCCTGGCTGTTCCTGGTCAAGCCACTTAGCTCTGTGTTCCACAGCAGAATCCTCTCCCTGTCTGTGCCCTCAGGGACAAGGCTTCCTGTTGTCTCAGAAGAAAGCCCGGGTATGTCTCAGGGTCCTGAGGTCCCTTCCTTGGGGCATTAGTATGCCTTTGCCTTCCATCCCTCTCTATTGCCCTCTCCTTGGCTAGAACCTTCAGAGGAATTCTACTGGATGTCACAGCTTTAAGCAGCCTCCTGCTATTTTACTGTCTTGGACCAATCCCTTAGAAATTGGCCTAATTTATGACTTTTGACTTGTTAGTGTGAGGCCATTTTGGCCCCTCCAGCTTGTCCTGACCTGTTCAACTCCATTATCAATGGCCAACATAATTAAAGACAGGGAGATCAGGGCAAACAGGCAAGAAGAAGATCCAAGCATCTGAGGCACCAGGATGCTGGGCTGAGAGTTAAAGACGGAGTCTTCATTTTGAAATGCACATCAAACAAGTTAAGTAACTTTTACTTTTTATAACAACATATTTGTCAGAATGCATTGATCTGGATTTAGCCTCCTGCCAATGTGCCTCCTTGGTCTGACCTGATGTGTGTGCATCGAGGGAATTTTGTTCCGACAGAAGCAGCATGCAATCAATAAAATCTTATTACATGGATTTATGCACTGCTTTCAGACCTAGTGCTAGTTCATGTCTCTGCCTTAAACTGTAATTGAAAATAAATCTGTGATACGCAGATTTTGGTTTCTGGCTGCAAGGCTGGAGTAGGGGGCAGTACCTTCGTTGTGGGGCCTTGTCAGGGGCCTTGCACAGCACCCCGAGGTCAGTTCACTCTCCTGGCTAGGGGCCCTGCACACAATAGCACAGCATGCACGCTGCGGGCGGAGGGCTGCTGGTCTGGCACTATGCCAGGCATCCACAGGCAGCTGCAGAGTGGCAGCACACTCTTGGGGTTCTGGTTCTCAAGGTTTCGGGCACCCAGGACTACCTGTCCTGTGTCTGCTCTGTCACACCTGCCATGGTCCTGCCTCCCAGCAGTTTTAGGTCCTCCTGGGCCTCTCTTGTCTGACAGAGGTGGCGGAAGCAGAAAAGCAGAGGCATCATGACCCTAGCAGAGCGCATGCCTATGGCAGAAGGGAGCCAGCTGTTACTGACACCAAAGCAGAAAGCCTCTGAGATCTGAGCTTGGGAGGCAGAACCTGGGAAGATACTAGAAGGAGCAGGAAATAAAAGCAAAACAGATGTGATAACTTCCCAGGATCCTAAGCCTCACCAAAACCTGCCTGGGCCAGTGGCAGACCAGACACAGCCAGGAAACCCAGAGACAACATCAACAATAGCTTAGTTTGGTTTGAATGGCGTAAATCCTAAAGTAGAGAGAAGCATAAGAAATCTTATTTCAGAAGGTGAATGCCAGAAAGTAGACAGGCAGGTAGTCAAGGACTGTGGAGCCTGGCAGGAGCACCATGTGCCAAAGAATGCAGAAGCGTACACTTATCATAGGCCTGAGGCTCAAGATTCCCTGGGCAGAGGGGAGCGCCCCAAGAAGAGACTGTTGGTACCTGAGACCTATGGACCCAGGCCTCTCCAGCACAGGCAGACAACCTCCGCCAGCCGGAGCTTAGCAGGGCAAATGCTGCGTGTGCACTGACCCAGCTGGGGCAGCACCTCTGGGAGTAGGGTCCAGCAGACGATGGCAGGGTGTGAGTAACCATGCAGCAATACCAGGTCTTCCTCTGGGAATGGGGTCAGCATCCCAGAGCCCACCAGCAAGGCTTGGGGGAGAGGACAGAGGGAGCAGTGATTCCGGTTTACACGCTAAAAATACTCTGGAGTTTTGAGTCTTCTGGGCTATGGCTGGGTTGGCCGGGCTGGGTGAGGCTAAGCCATGGATAAGCACATAACTCAGATTTAAAAAAGCTTGCGAACTCCTGCCTAGAGTTCACAGCTCATTATGCAGGAACACACCAGGGATGGGCACTGTCAGCGCCAGGGGGAGGAGACCACCTTGCTGTGCTCGCTGGCCTGGTTGGTTCACACACAGCACCCAAGGCCAGGGACTTGCCATTGGGAACAAAGCACGAAGGGTGCAAGGTGCCTTCCTCTTTCTTGTGTCCAGTCAGGAAAGTCCTGCTCTTCCCCATCCTCCCAGGTGACAGTCACATAGCAAGGCAAGAGCAGGAAGCTCACTGGTCAGAAATGAAGACCCATATATGCCTCCATTGGCTGTGACAGCTATGGGAACGCTATTAGGACTTGATCAACAACTGATGAAAAAACATAAAGCTCTCCAATACGCCAGCGATAACCTATAGAGGATGCACTGCAGAAGCCACTCAGCAGAGCTGAGGAGACTTCCCAGCAGTACCTGGTACTAATCCTAAGCGAACACACACAGAACCTCAAAGAGAACTTGGCACACAGCAGAAGAGAAAGTGGGCCCTTCTGCCTAGATGGCAATGCAATTAGGGGTGTCCACTTCCCTGCCTGCCTATCCTGGCAAACATGGTATGTGGTGGGTAGCGGACAATGTCAATACGGGGTGCGGGGGGGGGGGTTACGATTCTTCCAGGCTTAGCTCTAGCTTCTGTATGTCCCAAGTTCCCATGGAAACCCAAGTTAGGGGCAGCACAGCCTGTCTGGAGGATTCCAACTCCCCAAGACACCCACATTGCTAACTCATGCCCTTCTTGCTGTGCCCTGTTCTCTCAGTGGCACACCAGCACTGACTGCACACCATAGGCAATTACTACGGTGCAAGAAGGCGAGGTTGGCTTCCAACCCAGGTCTTGCCTGACTCCACTGTGCAGGCAGACAGGCAGCTTATGCCCACTGCACAGGGGATTCACAGATCCTGACTCAGCGCCACATTTCTACGGAGGAGAAAGGTCAACAGGCTACCTCTGAAAACCGTCTATAGCCATGTGGTAAAGACACTTTGCTGCCCAGGCAGCAAATGGGGAAGGGCAAAGTCCCCAAAGCCAGCTACACCCAGCAGTCAACAGCAGAGCCCCAACAGCTCATGAAGCAGGGTACAGAATCTGAAGGTGGGACAGCTGTCCACAGGCTTGTTTTGGAAAAGCGAAGGCATTCATCTCTCCTTCCCCGGTGGCTTGGAAGTTCCTGGTGACTTTCCTCAGATAAGAGGACTGCTCTCCGAGGAGCTGCACAGCTGGTATCCTCCTTGCTGGTTTATGAGCAACCACACAGGTTACCTGTGCATTTTCATAGGACTCAGTCATAGCTCCTAAGATTCCACCCGCTCTGCTGTAGGGATCTGGTCCATTACCTTGCTCTGTAACCTTGGTGGTCCTCAAGCAGCCAAACTCCAGAATGACCAGGGCAGCAGGTAGGCCATGTGCTCTACCTTGGGTGGCAGTCATGGAGTCAGGCAGACTAATTTAGCAGTGAGGGAGGCCTCTGTTCCTTCCTGAGTAGCCACTGACCTTGTGAGTTCATCTGCACATTCTCCGAGACAAGCATACTGGCAGAAAGTAGGGTAGAGGGAGCAGCAGGGATCAGGTGGGTGACCCCCATCTTGACCTAAAGGACGACTTGGCTGTTGTCCTTTAGAGACTGTGGCTGAGTCCCTTCTCAAGAGCCAGGGACAGCCTTTCTCCAGCTTGTGCCACAATCGGAGTGGCAGAAGGGACAGCTAGGGAAAGGGTTAAGTTTAATTTATCCTGATTTCTACTTAATATCATGCTCTCCCCGTAGGAGCGGCAGCTGCGAGCTGATTGCGCGCTCTCATTATGCAGCCTGTATCGCTAATGGCCTGTGACAAAGGCTTGCCAGCTCCCGGCCTTACCCCCGAGAGCCAATTAAACACACACACTCCCTTCCTGTTTGCAGCACGTTACAATGAAATTAAACTGAATTTCAAAATCGTTTTCTCCTGAAGACATCTCTTTACAATAATTAATGCATGCTATTCCTTTTCAGCAGAAAGGCCCACCCGGAGCGCTCACTGCCCACGTGGCTCCTGCTGCACCCCAGGGCTCCATGAGTCCCGACATCAGTAAAACCTATAGGGCTTGCTCCCTGTGTTTTTAAAGGGAAGAACACAGCTTTTTATCCAAACCTAAACATAAAAGAAGGTGACCACAAAGCAAGTTGGGATTCCCGCAGGGACTATGCAGAAGGCTGCTGGAGGGGCCTGCTAAGAGCGAGATTCACTCAGAGGCAGGGTTTCCTAAATGCCGCATTGGAGGGACAATAGCGGGAGGTTTGTTTCCTCCTGATAGCTGGCATTAACCAGGATGTTTACAGACGGAGCACTGGGGAGCCCAGCGTTACAGGCCTACCACTTTCCATCACCGATCTACTGAGATAATCATGTCAGGTTCCCCAACACTGAGCTGGTGGCGCCCTGCGACGGCAGTGCCTGGAGAGTCTGCAGGCCATGCTCAGGAGCTTGTGGGTCTCCACCTGTGGACCTTGGGCCCTCCCTGGAGGTTTGTGGGTCTCCACCTGTGGACCTTGGGCCCTCCCTGGAGGTGTTGGAATGATGCCCCCACCTATCTAGAGTATACAGGCCCAAGGTAGCTGGAACACATGCTTCCAGGGCCAGACTGAGGGTCACGTGGGCAACCTCAACAGATTGCCTCCTCTCTCTGATGAGCACAGTACATGGTCCCCAAGGCTTTGCTTCCCAGAAGAGCATGGGTGAAACCACCTCTGTCACATGGGCCAGAATGTCACATGGGAAACAGGCCTTTCTTTCAGAAAAGTATTACTTAAGAACTAGAAAAGAAAGCACGTACACAAAATTGTTAGAGATAAGAAGGGTGAAAAAGAGAGCCTAGGAAGACCAGAACCCTGACATCCTAAAGCCAGCAACTCATGTGATGGTGATGAACTTCAGGTGAAAACACACCAGCAGACAGCTGCACAGCCAGCAACTGTAGCAGAGCCATACTGTCTTCAGGGCACAGGAGTCCCACAAGGGGAGGAGTTGTCTCAGGAGAGCTGACACAGGAGGGGAAGTTACAGTACATGCTGTGTGTCTCCCGGACTGCTTGGGCCTACGACCATCATCCACAAGCACCACAGGCCACACAGAGGAGAACAAACCGCAATATGAAAATCAATGACCAAACCAAACCAAATCATGGTATGTGGGACTGCTTTTGTCCCAAAGGTGGGGAGGGGAGATTTACAGGGTGAGAATATGGCTGTGTGAGAAGACAGGAGCAGTGGTGTACCCGAGAGGAAGAGGAAGTCCTGACCTCTGGAGCAGGAAGACCAGAATCATGAGGCAACAAGGCTTTGGCAATGTGTCCAGCTGGCAGACGGACAGTGTAGGAGCTATATCTTGGGGGACAGGGCTGCAGGCTCCTCATAGGGCAGTGGTAGATGGCAGGAAGCTGGGGCACTCAAAGGGTAGCAAAACAGCAGCTTCCAAACAGCCTCTGCCTTCAGCAGGAGTTTCTAGTATACACAGGCTAAGAAACACCAAAAAAGACCAGCCCTTCCTCAACTGCAGTCCCCTCTGTTTCAGAGTTTGGCCCTACCTGTTCTGAACCAGCCATCCGAAGTGAAAGCATTTTTAGTTTCTTCTGGCTTGTCCCAGTATTCCCGAAACACAGAGGGTCCCTTAACCAGCAGCTCCCCTTCCTTTTCCTCGAACCCTGGGGTCACCTGCACAGGAAGGAGAAACACATAGGTCAGAGCAGGACAGCACTGGTATTTCCACAGTTGTTCTACCCCACGACTGGTCCAGGCAGGTGGCTTCCACCTCCACCACAGAACAAACGCCCTTTTCTGAAAGCAGACAATTGGAAGTCTTCGAAAGTCACAGCCTTCAGTGGGCAGACCTCAGTCATGCCCGAGCCTGGGCTCCTCCTCTGTCCTTGGCCTGGGGCCTGAGGGAAGGCCAGTGTCTGCTGGCTCTCAGAAGCTGTCCCCGAATCCTATTTCTGCACCTCTTAGAAGCTGTGAAACATCTGTCAGCACTTCTCAAGCAGCTGGTGCAAGCAGCACCAGGCACAGCCTTTAGGCAGTGACAGCTTTGTTCAGAGCAGCCAAGCAAGGGAATGCCTGGAGTCAGCAGAACATGTGTCCACTCTGGCACATGTGGACATTATGTGTCTTCACCATGGAGCTTCTGTTTGTGGTCACGCCGTATGAACTGGCCATGTGAGATCAGCACATACAGCTGCACCGAGGATGTACTGCTTGAAGCCAGTGGGGAACGCTGGGGCTGCTGTCTCACATGTCCACCAATGTACACTTCTGTTATCAGAGTAGGAACCTTCCACTTTTTGTTTCTTGAGACAGGGTCTTGTTCTGTAGGCCAGGCTGGTCTAGAACTCATGATGCACCCAGGCTGGACACAAACTGGTTGATGAAGGAGCCTGCTGCCAAACCTCATGACTTGAGTTTGATCCCTGGAACCCATACTGTAGGAGACAACCAATTGTAAGTTGTCCTCTGACCTCTACATGTATGTTGCAACACACACACACACACACACACACCAAGTATGCCTCTTTTCTTGCTTCCATGAAACACAATGGAAATCCTAATTAGAGAAGCAGTGTAAAAGGAGATGTGTAAAATTTTGAAAAGAAGAAACGAAAGGGCTCCTATTTGCAACAGACATGATGGTATAAGTGAAAATCCCAAATATATTACAACATCAAGTCAAACAATCTCCTTGAACTAGTTGGGGAATTTAGCCAAGTTACTAAAGGATGCCAGAATGCCTATCCGAGTTAGCTGTATTTCTAAAGACCATCAGTGAACAACTGGAAACCAGCACCTGCACTTGATGTGTTGTTTGAAACAAAAGACAGAAAAGGAAGAGAGGAAAGACAAGAAAAAATTGACTATGACCAACAAATCATGTACAGCACGTGTTTGCTGAAAATGGCACACACACAGATAGGCCAGACCTAAGTAAATGGAAAGACATAACATGTTCATGAATTGGGACTCAGTAATTGTTAATTGTCCCCTCAATGATTTACAGGTATAATATGATTTCAATTAAGAATCTAAAATGGGGGATGCATAGATGGTTCAGCTGTTAAAAGCTAGGCTCACAACCATATATATATGAAAATCCAAAATGGAGCTGGATGTATCGCAAATGTCTTTAATCCCAGCACTTGGGAGGCAGAGGCAGGAGGATCGCTGTGAGTTTGAGGCCAGCCTGGATTACAAAGTGAGTCCCAGGACAGCCAGGGCTACACAGAGAAACCCTGTCTCAAACAAAAACAACCCCCCCAACCCCCAATGGCTCTTTGTAGCTCCAGACAGGCTGGCTCTAAGACTGAGTGGCTAGGATGATGGCTTGGTAGATAAGCCCTTGCTGTGCAAATGTAAGGATTGAGTCTGGATCTCTAACACCCATGTAAAAGCCAAATATGGTCTTGTCTATCTGTAATTCTAGCACACAGCAGGATGAGAGGCAGAGAGAGGGCTCGTGCAGGCGAGGGACAGCTGTCTGTGGTGTAAATGAAGTGAACAAGAGGAGGCCCTGCAAGATGGAAGGACCAACACCTGAGGTTTTCCTCTGATTTCCACACACATGCCATGGCATATGCACACCCCCCCCCCCAATAAAAAATTGGTATGTGCAGGATTTGTAGGGGTAATAGTTCAGTGGTGGAGCACTTGCTGGGTGTAAATGGGTCCTGGATTTGATCTTCAGCACTGTGAAACTTTAAAACTTGACATTTCTAGTTAAAGTAACTGAAAACAAAGAGTTCAGTGATGAAATCACTATGACTTTAAGACTTACTATGATGCCAAAGGAATGAAGGTGGCATGGTGCTGGCATAGTCCACTCACTCAAGTTAGTATAACTGACGTTCACCTCGGTTGCAACAGCAAGTTAGTGAGGAAAGTGGTCTCTTCACTAGATTACAGTTGACCAGCTGGATGACCACATACAAAAATAACCTCTTCATCCGGTAGGAAGAACTCAGCCCAGACAGCACAGACGACCCTGAGTCAGGTGCACACACGTGACACCTGAAAGCGTAAGCCATGAAAACAGGCTTGATCAAAATTAAAAACTTGGCTCTAAGAAACACAGGAGCATTAAAAGACAGACCACAGAAAGGGAGGCTGGAAAATTATGTAGCTCAGACAGAACTCTTAAAATAGTACTGGTCCTGTAGCAATCAGGATGGATGGAACATCAACCAGAGCAGGACCACACATGTGCTCTGACCAGGTTCTCTCCCCAGGTCTGGTTTTCAAATGCTGGTGATAAGCCAGGTAAAACAAAATAACAGAAATACACCCAACACTGAGAAACCAGCTCTATAAAACGGTCTGAAGTGCAGAGCCGACACTCTGGGAATGCTGCCGGAAGGGGGGTGTCTGTGACGGCAGATGGCACCTTAACCTCGAGCTGAACATGTGCTAGGACTACGAGTGCTAGCACCTAGAGTGATGGCCAGGGCAAATTCCAGACAACATTAGACAGAACCTCTTGTCTGTGGTGGGATGCGGAGCAGCACTGCCCCCTTGAAAGGAATGGTTTGGGCAGCGTCACATAGCAGCAGGCCCTGCCCAGGCACTTACCTTACCTCAAAATTAACATTTATCAAAACTATTCTCCATGACCTAAGTCTGAAACAACTTTTTTTTTTTCCTGCTGTGACACATTTCTGAGACAATAACCTAAAGGACAAAGGAATTATTCTGCTTCATGGTCTCCAAGGTTTCATGGTGCAGGGTCACCTCGCTCCTGAATCTGGGCCTGTGATGAGGCATCCTGGTGGAAGGCTGAGTGGAACAGAGCTGCTCACCCTGGTGACTAGGAAGCTGAGAGAAAGGAGCTGGCAGAACCTTCCCTTAGTGATGCATTTTCCCCCAGGCTGGTTCCACATCCCAAATATGCCATCCTACCACGATTCCACCAAGGGCTGAATCTCCCAACTAGATCAGAGGCCTCTGGATCCACTAATACTCTAAAGCCCAACAGCTGGTGTCCAAAGCCCCAACAGACCCCAAACCATCACACAGAAGAAATGTCTCACAAACAGCAAGTGATGGACATCACCACACGCGACATCACTGTGCAGCAACACAGGAACACACACCACATCTGTGTGTGCTGAGGGTTTGTTTCTAAAATGTGCCTGCATAGGTTCCACCATAAGATAACTGGGAGGGGGCTGGAGAGCTGGCTCAGAGGTTAAGAACACTTGCTATTTTTCCAGAGGTCCTGAGTTCAATTCCCAGCAACCAATGGTGGCTCATAACCATCTACAGTGAGATCTGGTGTGCAGGCAGAATGTAAATGTATTATAAAAAATAAATCTTCAAAAAAAAAAAAAAAGATAACTGGGAGGAAACACTTGAACGAAGAGCAGGGCTGGGCTGCCTGGACTGGCTGCTGGAAGGAACCCCACACCATGGCAGTGGCTCTGGGTGCCACTGTACTTAATAGACGTACTAACCTCACAGCATGATCACGTCAGGGCTCTTGCCCTTCTAGGTGCCCTCACCCTCTCTGCAGAGCATACATTCCATTAATGCCATTGGGTTACAATCAGCAGCTGTATTGCGGCACCAGGAGTTGTCCCTGACAGCTCTCAGTGAGCAGGAACCCCCCCCACCTTCCCTTCCAGACACCTCCCTAGAGGCCCTGCCGAGCTCTAACAGCTTAGAGCAGCTTTCCCAGTCACCATGGTTTAGCCAACTTCGACAGTAAGTATCGCTGGTTTAAAACTCAGTGCATGGTTTCTGTTCAACCGGAACAGAACGGCACACACACGGCTAGCTGGGCAACAGAGGGCTTTGCTCTTCATAGGAACACTGCGCTCCCGTGGCTGGGAAACTGGCCAGTGCAACCTACTGTGTGTGACTTTAAGATCTAGTAAGTGAGAACTCAACCACGGTGAAGCCATGTGTCTTCCACAGCCACCGACACCTGGAGACTCCCCTGCCCCACACAGCAGACCAGTGCCTGGCTCGTGTGCTGGGCAGGCAGCAGGGACAGGACCGTCATCAGGGCATCACCCTGAGAGGAGGGCCACGGCCTCCCAGGTGAGTGGCAGTAACTAGATGCACAGCAGCTTACTCACCCGCATGGTAACTTGGACTTTGAGACACAGCTGCTCTGAGCTCCTGAGGATGTGTGGTGTCATCCCACTGGTGTCAGACCAGCTCTCCTAAACAGCAGCTGCCAGCACAGCACAGCACCAAAGACACGGGGCAGAGTCAGGGTCCTCAGGAAACTGGCTCCCCAAGACTCTGCTCAGTCTGCTCAGAACCCAGCCCAAACCTCACCCCCGGCACCTCCAACAGGTTCACCGTGTCCAAGGCCAGAGAGAGACGCTCACCAATCCCAAGTGTGCTCATGAGGACATAGGCTGCTGTCTGGTCCCGGTGCACACCCCAGCTGGGACCATGATTAGCAGCCGCCACAAAAAGCAAATCCTTCACTCATGGGAAAGCAGTTGGATTCCCAGTGTGATCCCTTGTTTCTCCTCTTTTATCTTCCATCCTCCCCATTTCTACTCACCACCACAGTCTGACATCCATTTAGATGTGCTCTTGTGATCCCACCAGTGAAGTCATGGACGTTAGCCTTCAGGACCTGGCATAGCTTGCTTGGGCTGTCCTCCAGTACCACCCACGTTTTCGCAAAGGACAGCACATCTCCCTTTTTGAGATCAGGTCTCATCATGTAGCCCAGCCTGACTTGGAATTCATGCTGCTGCTACCCCAGCTCCTGAGTGCTGGGTTTACAGGCACACACTGACATGCACAGTATGGCCCCTCTGAAAGGCTGAATGGTCCTCAGGATTCTACTGTGTGTAATCCATGCCACATTCCCTTTACTGAGTTACACACTGGCTGATGCTTTTCATGGCTACTGTGAACAGTGCTGCAGTGAACACGGGCACAGTCTGTCACAGTACTACCTCCCTTGCATATACACAGACTGTTGGATACAGCACCCCTTTTCTGAGAACCCTCCACACTACTTTCCACAGTGACTACAAATTTACCTTACGCCCCCACAGTCAGCACAGGTCCCCTCAACATCCTCATCACTGCCTGTTTGTCTTTTCCACACACATCAGAAGAGGGAATCAGATTCCATTACAGATGGCAGTGAGCCACCATGTGGTTGCTGGGAATTGAACTCAGGACCTCTGGAAGAGCAGTCAATGCTCTTATCTGCTAAGCCACCTCTCCAGCCTGTGTTTGTCTTTTTGATAGCTCCCATTCTAACAGAGGCAATGACAATTTAGTGACATTAGTATTTTCTACACACTTGCTGACCACGTTAGCACTTTGTGACAAGCGTCTGGTCGTTCACTCTTTCAGTGGCATTGCTTATTTCCCTGCCAGTGAGTGGGCTCCATCTACACCTCGGATGTTAGCTCTTCTCAGATGCATGGTTTTGCAAGTGTTTCCTCCCATTCTGTGACTATCTCATCAGCTCTCTCACCGAGAGAGGTGTCTAAACTAACCAGATTCCAGCGATTGATTTTTGCTTTCTTCCACTGTTTCTGAACTTTTATCCAAACACCTCTGCCTAAAACGCTGTTGCCAATTATTCTGTCATCCAGTATATTCAAAGTTTCTGGTGCTACAAATGGCCAAAGCAGTCTTTAGCAAAAAGAATAAAGCTGTGGGTCATGAACTGCCTACCTTCAAAATGTCCCTGAGACTCCTATAACCAGGGAACATGGTGCAGCTACAAAGAAGACACATACATGTGGACCAGTGCACACAGAGAAATCATTTTGTAGCTGGCTGCAATAACTGTGCAAAACATTTTGGGTATCTATTTAAGTATGGGCTTAAAATGTTTTGATTTTATGTGTATGAGTGTTTGTCTACATGTATATATTTGTATGAGGGTTTGTCTGCATTACGTATGTGTGCCAAATGTTTGGAGTATCCTCAGGGCCAAAAGAAGGTGTTGGATACTCCTTGGAACTGGAGTTACAGATGGTTGTGAGCTGCCACATGGCTGCTGGGAACCAAACTCAGGTCCTCTGTAAGAGCATCAAATGTTCTTAAGAGCTGGGCCATTTCGCCAGCCCTGTTCTTTCAACTTCTTACCAATGTTTTAGTTTCCATGTAGAAATTCTTTACCTCCCTGGTTAAGTTTATTTCTAAGTAGTTTATTGTATTACGTGAATGGGTATATATGGGGAAGCCAAAAATACCCTGCAGGGGTCAGTTCTTTCCTACCATCATTCTTGGGCATTGAACTCAGGTCATCTGGCTTGGCAGCAAGTGACTTTACTGAACCATCTCTCTGGTGCTAGTTTATAATTAAAAAAAAAAAAAAAGGGTGCTGGACAGATGGCTCAGTGGTTAAGAGCACTGTCTGCTCTTCCAAAGGTCATGAGTTCAATTCCCAGCACCCACATGGTGGCTCACAACCATCTATAATGTGAACTGATTCCCTCTTCTGGCAGGTGTAAATGCAGATAGAACACTCACATACATAAAAAAAATCATAAAATAAAAAAAAGACATTCTATTGGGATTATTTTCTTGAGTAGTTTTTTTCTTTCTTTTCTTTCTTTCTTTTTTTTTTTTTTTTTTTCTGGATAGCTTACTATTAGGGTATGGAAATGCTGATGGTGTGCCCTCCAACTTTTCTCTGTTTAAATCTGGTAGTGTTTTGGGTTTGTGTAAACATAATTTCAAATCACCTGTAAACAGGGTGATTTTATTCTCCCCTTTGCAGCTGTGGTAACTCTTATTTCCTGCACCTGATGCTGGAGCCAAATCTTCTAGTATCACGTTGAACAATAACAGCGACAAAATGGTGATCCTTGACTTGTTTTTGACTGTGAAGGAAAAGCCTTTGACATCTGCTCATTCAGTGATGCTAGCTGTAGTTTGTCATATATGGTGTTCATGTTGAGGCAAATTCTTTTTCTATTTAGTTTGCTCAGAAATTGTCATCAAGGATTGCTGAATGTCATCAGATCTATTTTGTGTGTGTATACACTGAAATTACATATATATATATATATATATATATATATATATATATATATATATAT